TAGAGTCTATGGGCTCTGGAACCAAACTTTTGAACCTGTAATCCTGGCGCCACTACTTATTAATTGTATGGCTGGGCAAATTACCGAAATTCTGTCTGTCTGTTTCTTCATCTATAAATCAGGAATAATAATGGAAACTTCATTTGGGTTACTGTGCCTGGCTCATAATAAGCTCTATATAAATGTTAATTATTATTACCATTACTATAGAGAAATTAGTTGGAGAGTCAGGGAAGGGTCAGATGATGGAATGTTTTGAAAGCTAATAGAATTTAGAGATCATGTGAAAGACTATTTTTTTTTAATTTTTTTTTCAACGTTTTTTTATTTATTTTTGGGACAGAGAGAGACAGAGCATGAACGGGGGAGGGGCAGAGAGAGAGGGAGACACAGAATTGGAAACAGGCTCCAGGCTCCGAGCCATCAGCCCAGAGCCTGACGCGGGGCTCGAACTCATGGACCGCGAGATCGTGACCTGGCTGAAGTCGGACGCTTAACCGACTGCGCCACCCAGGCGCCCCGAGAGACTACTTTTTTAGTCAAGTGAACATGATGCTATTTTTGATGTTAACGAATATTGGCTTTAACATCAATCAGGTATGCTCAGCCTTAATTAAAATTTTATTCTGATTTTATTTAATTTTCATGTTACTCTGAACTTCTATCTGTATTTAAAAGGATGATGATAAAGCTCACCAACCAAGATGCTAAAACCCAGGTCAAAGTCTTTTATTGTTTGATATTATTTGACTCTTTGGAATCAAGGTGGGAATATTATCCAAAGAAAAAAGGCAGCTAATCTATAACAAAGTTATAAATGAAAGGGAAAGTGATGAGGGGCAATTAAGTGATAGGAAGGTGAGATTATAGACTGAGGGGTAAAAATGGACTAAGGAAAAGCAATCATATATAAGAAAAACCTATTTTATTATTTTTAAAATATTTATTTTGAGAGAGAGCACGGGCGGGGGTGGGGGTGGGGTAGAGAGAGGGAGTGAGAGAATCCCAGGCAGGCTCTGTGCTGTCAGTGCAGAGCCCAACACAGGGCTGGATCCCACAAACCATGAGATCATGGCCTGAACTGAAATCAAGAGTTGGATGCACAAGCTACTGAGCCACCCAGGCATCTCAAGAAAAACAGATTTTAAAATTTAGAGGATGATGGGCATTTCAGAAGAATTTGAATGTTTTAAAAACAGCAATGAGTCAAATGCAAGTGAATACTCAGATTGAATTTAAATAGGTTGGGTAAGCACCAAGCAGCAATAACAATTAAAAAAAAAGGGGGGGGGAAACATATGTACAGGGAAACACACTCAACATTTCATGTAAAAATTGCCTGAGCCTAGTACCCCCTAACTCCTTCCCTTTCCCCATCTTTCCCATACTTGTGAATAACAGACTAAAAATATTATCTTAACCTTTTTCTTCCAATGTTATCTTTGTTTTAGAGTCTTAACTTATTTTTTGCTCCAGGCAGGTCAGAGTTATTACGTTGATTTCGAGTTGGATGAGAATGCCTACCTCCCAAGGCTGGACACCCCCTGCTTCCATCACTACCACCTTCGGGGTGAAGTCCTAGCTAGACTTAGGAAAGGAGGAGGAGGAATTGTCCTCCGGGAGAAAGGATGGAGGCTATTCTGAGAAGGTTAGGTCATATCTCAGAGCAGTTGATTCTTCTAAAACTGAAAACTGTACCCTCGCCATCAAATCTGCTCCTATTCTAGTCTAGGACATCTCCACAGACAGCATTTCTACTCATTCTCTCGCTCCGGTAAGAAACATGACATTCATTGGTGACCTCTTCCTTCTTATCTTCACTCCCAACTCATTACTAAGTCCTGTCCACTATGCCACCAAAGTGTATCTCAAATCTGTACACCTTGCTCCATTTCCATCTCCATGGCCATCACTCAGACACCGCTGATCTAATGTTCATGCAAGTTAGAAAAAGGAGTCCCTTCCCCTGGGCAGATGCTGGGGCTCGACTTCAGCCTTATTTGCCATCTTTCCACAGGTGATGATCTCTAAAACTGCCTAATGGTCCTGGACCCTAGCCCACGCCATGCTGCTCTGTTGTAATCACCTTTTCACTGTTCTGCACACATCCACTCTCGTCCTCTTTCAACCCACTCTCCACACAACAGAGGGACTACTTTTAAGTTCCAATCTGATCACTTGACTCCCTAATCTTTCAATAGGTTTCTACTGCTATCAGAATAAAATCCTGAACCCTTAACATGGCTTACAAGGTTCTGTATGGTCTGATACCCAGTTTTCTCTTTATCTTTACTGGCACCATTTCGCCTTGATAACTTTCAGCCACATGACCTTGTTTTGGTTCCTGAAACTTGCCAAGCTTCCCCCTTACTCCAAAAGACTGCCTGACTTAGCTTGGCTAAATTTTACTCTTCTTTCAGGTCTCAATTTAAATGTTACTTCTTTATGAAAGCCATCCCTGAATCCAAAATCTAAAGAGCCCCTTATTGCACTCTATTCTTTAATCGTACTTAACACATTTTATAATTATATATTCACTAGTGATTTACTTAATATTCTTTTCCCTACTACATACGCTAAGGTCCACAGGGGTGAGGATCATGCCTGACTTAGTCCAGTATCTTTCATTCACCTAAGTTTCTATTCAAGCTCATTCTAAAGGCCTTCTCAATGCCATTGACTATACTAGATGCTAGGCATACAGAAGTGAATAGACAGATGAAGTCCTTGCTCTTTTGAGGAAAACAAAACCAGTCAATAAACAAGTAAGCAGACAAGATGATTACAGATTGTGATATGTGGTATGCAGTAGACTCTGGGCACTTGAAGCTCAGAGATCTGTTTATATGAACGCCAAATGTTTAGGAGAGAGCTAGCTGCTAAACATAACTGAAGAACTTACTTTGTTCATATAAAGTCCAAAACAAATACTCCTGATGGATGGATGCCTCTCCTCCAAATGCTAATTCAGGGACCCAAGATCCTTCTAATTTGTGGCTCTGCCATCTTCAGCATGTGGCCAGAGAAGGGAAACAAGCATGGAAGATTGATTGTGGAATTACTTTTTTTAATTAGGTAAATCTGGATGGCTACACCTAATTGCAAGGGGGGCTGGGGAACACAATGCATCTCTGCACTGAGGAAGAAGAGTAAATAGATTTGGTGATTAGCACTTTCAAAAGTACCTGGCACAAACATTGGCATGAAGAAACAAAGATAAACTAGAAATGGGGCTTGTTCTAAAAAATTTTTATAATCTTTGTGTGTACACAGAAATCAGTATTATGCCTGATCTAGTATACTAAATCTCCAATCCCTTAGGAATGTAGAAATTGTCCTTAAAATGAAATTAACGAACTTGTGTATCTGTTTCTCAGTTTTAAAAATTAATCTACTTGTCCACTTTAATTCAGGGTCACCTTCAAGGTTTCTACTTTTACTTCCCATGGTTTTTAGCCTGTCCCAAATCTTGCCCCATCACAGCCCCTCTGTTTCATGGGTTTGGTTGGTTGCATTAGGACAAGTCCCTAGTCAGAGCAATAGAACAGATCAGAAGTGAGAGATCCTCTTAATAATTTGGGACCCAGGAGCTTTGAACTTGTAGACATGCACCTAAATCACTATATAAATTCCCTGCATATATTTTATGGTATTCTTCATAATTGTATGCTCTGAATTAAACACTGTGGAAATTTTAATTATTCTTTGGTACCAAAGCAGAAACATGGTCACATGTTTGTGGCAATCTGTATTTAAAGCTTTTCTATTCTTAAACTAGTTTTCGTGTCCTGGTGCGCATCGTAGTATTACAAGCACAGAAACACAGAGCTCTAAGGGACCTCATCAATCAGAAACATTTACCTGTTCACCAATCTTTAGACTTAATTCAGAAGGGATCTGAAATCTAGAGTTTACTGACTAATCCTACAAAGATAAAAAAAAAAAAAAGTGCAACATGCCTGAATCCATGTCAAATTGGTTTTAGTTTACTCTTCCTAAGAGAAACTCCTCCTTGAGGTAGTCGGAGAGCACGGTCCTGGATAGCCGTTTCACGCATTGGTAAGGAAATTTAGAGTCGAGCGCGGCAGGTGGAAACACTGTGCGGCTGAGAATGGGCGATGCGGGTGTTTCCGCGATCCCTGGAGCTGAAGGGACTGCGCTTTCACTAACAGGATCTTCAGGAAGTCGGAGAAGTGGAAGCAGCGTAGCCTGGAGTCCTTTTCACCGGGTGGGAGCAAGGGTACCGCGGGTCCTCGGCCCCGCAGCGGAGCGGCCCCGAATTGCCAAGCGCCGCAGGACGCCCGCCACGCCCCACGCCGCCCTGCAGGCGAACGAGGGAGGCGGCGAGGCCCCGCCGGGCCACCGTAGCGCTGCGGCTCGGGCCTCTCCTCCCGCGCCGCCCTCCGCCCCCAGCCTCCCCGCGCCGCGGCAGCTCTGGGCAGGCAGCGCCGCCGCCGCCGCCGCTTCCTCCTCTGCAGCCGTTCGGCCGCTGCGTGACGCGTCGTTTCCTCCCAACATGGCGGCCGGGGCAGGTCGGCGGTGATGGAGGCCAGTCCGCGGCCGCGGCGGGTGCTAATCCCCACGGTAGCTAGGGCAGCCGTGCTCTCTTCGGGCTTCTGAGCTGCCGCCGCCTTGTCCCTCGGCTCCCGGCAGACGGCCGCCCGGACTGGGCTCCCTCGCCGCCCCTGGGCCGGAGGGGCGAGTGAGGGGGGGTGGCCGGGAAGCGACCCCAGGCAGGAGAGCGGAGGTCCGACGGGCGCGGCCCTCTAGGGGTGGCCTCTCGAGAGGCGGTGAAGACCTCCGTGCCCCTCGCCTGCACCGCGACTGCTCCCACCTGCCTACCCCTTCCTGATCCTGCCGCTGCCCTCCACGCCTCCTCTCCTCCACTTCCACCCCCTCTCCTTTCTCTCCTCTTCTTCCCCCTCCTCCTCCTCTTCCTCCTCCCCTCCAGCCGCTGGGAGCCGCGGGTCGGACGAGCCGCCGCCTCCTTCTCTGCGTCCATGTATGAGGGGAAGAAGACGAAGAACATGTTCCTGACCCGGGCCCTGGAAAAGATTTTGGCCGACAAGGAAGTGAAGAAGGCGCATCACTCCCAGCTGCGCAAAGCGTGCGAGGTGGCGTTAGGTGAGCGGGGAGGAGGCCCGGGGCGGGGGTAGGGGCGGCCCGCGCGGCAGCCGCCGCCGGAGGTGGGGTCGTCTGGGGCTGCCCTAAGCCGGCGCCGCTGACCTCAGGGAGCCCTCGCGAAGCTCTTTGCTCCCTGACTGGAGTTGACACTAACTCGGCTGGATGTGGGGCAGAGGCAGGGTGGAGGAGGAGGGGCAGTAAGCTAGGCTCGGGGAACAGGGCAGGGCTTGGAATCGACTTGAGAGTATGGGAAGATTTTGCTGATGGACCGTGCGGTGCGGACAGGATATCACCCTTTGTGATGAGCAGAAGATGAGCTGTTGTTTATTAGCTTGAAAATCGAGGTGGAGCTGATTTGTCAAGATTGGGCGTGGGAAGGGTTCCGTATCGTAATTTCGATAACTTTGTCGTTTGGTGTGATACTTTGGGAAGATAGGCCGAAGTTGTTCCCTTGTTGACAGTCTTGAGCAGGGGTTTGTAAGAGGTGTAGCCCATTCTGACATCTCTCCGCCTCCGCCACAAGAAAAACAGAGTGATGTTGTATGTGACTGGACTGACCTGGAAGAACAAGACCAGAGGTTAAGGGGTGGGGGTGGCGATATAAAGGCGAGGAAGTGAAGGACCTTTAAATATGCTGGCTTTATGACAAGAAAGGGAGGTTTTGAAATGGGGAAAATGAAAAAGACAATGACACCCACCAGCCACATGTCTGGACAGTGGCAGCTGCTCTCAAGCTTGCATTCTGATCTGTAGTTCAGACGGAGGAGATCTAGTGTACTGAAGCCCATAGCAGAGTAATTCCAAACAATACCTATAGTGAGGACAGGCAAGATGAGGAATTGTTAAAGGGAGAACACTGATCTATGGCATCCGTCAAAGATGAAATCGTTTAAGGAGAGACCAGGACATTTAACACAAAGATGAATTCCTAACACTTAGGCTTTTATTTTATAGCAGTGGAAATAGACTATATCGAATTGACAAGAAAATGAAACTTGTTAAATGGGCTTTGGAAAAAAAAGTGTTCTTGAAGGGAAAAAAAATCCAGGGTAACTTAAAGGTGTACTAAAGTAAAGCGTGAAGACAGCAAAGACCTTTTAATTATTAAAATATACTACTTTCTAACTTGCTATAATCTATATTGTTTTAACTTCTTTTCTAGGTACTTTAAGGTGGTGATGTGAAAAACATTACCATAGAAATTTTCGTTAAAAATTCTTTAAATCTGTGGTATAGTGGGTTTAAGTTTAGTTTTCTGGCCTTTCGTGGATTAGAAGTTCATCTTTTATTATTCTCGTAGCTAATGAAAGACTGTTCTAGGTATACGACAAGACATTGTATAGTGTAAAAAATTGAATTTACATCTAGGTCCTGAAAGGAGTAATTATTAAATTGGGGTGGGATGAGGGAAGAAATGATTTTTAGAGTTTTTAAAGGAATTACATGTTTATAAATAATGTGCAGGTTAAAGAACTCTAGAGATTCAAACTAAACGTTTAGTTTGAGGCCAGATTTTCCATGTTAAATATATTTTTAATATACTAAATTATAAGTATTAGACTGAAGAAATGGAGTGTGTTTTATATACGTATTTTTTCTTCTCCAAAATGCCAATATAAGTGAGTGGGTTGTTTTTTGTTTTTTGTTTTTTTTTGAAGTTGATTGATTTATTTTGAGAGAGAGCATGGGAGGGTCAGAGAGAGAGGGGGGGAGAGAGAGAGAGAATCCCAAGCAGGCCCCTCACTGCCAGTGCAGAGCCTGACATGGGGCTCTAACTTATGCATTGTGAAATCATGACCTGAGCCAAAACCAGTAGTCAGACACTTAATGAACTGAGCCACCCAGGCACCCCTAAGTGAGTGTGTTTTAATGGAGAGTTCAGTGGAAGGAGAATCTGGGATCCTGGGTTAAATCGCAATTCTGTTACATTGCAGTATGGTCGAGTCTTTGGGCCTTAGTTTCCTTCCTTGTAAAATTGGGATATGGAACTTAATGATTGTAAGGTTACATCCCCTCTAATATGCCATGAACGTGAACACACAGTTTTGTTAACCTGTGCATTGAATATTCTTGCCCCTCTTTTTTTTTTTTAATTTTTTTTTTTTCAACGTTTATTTATTTTTGGGACAGAGAGAGACAGAGCATGAACGAGGGAGGGGCAGAGAGAGAGGGAGACACAGAATCGGAAACAGGCTCCAGGCTCTGAGCCATCAGCCCAGAGCCTGACGCGGGGCTCGAACTCCCAGACCGCGAGATCGTGACCTGGCTGAAGTCGGACGCTTAACCGACTGCGCCACCCAGGCGCCCCTTAATTTTTTTTAACGTGTATTTATTATTGAGAGACAGACACAGAGCGTGAGCAGGGGAGAGGCAGAGAGAGGGGGAGACACAGAATCCGAAGTAGGCTCCAGGCTCAGAGCTGTCAGCACAGAGCCCGATGTGGGGCTCAAACTCAGAGACTGCTAGATCATGACCTGAGCTGAAATCGGTCACCCAACCAACTGAGCCACCCAGGCGCCCCTTCTTGTCCCTCTTGATTGGCACCTTGAGAGGGCTTATAGCTTGGTCCTTACCGTATCTAGGTATAGGAGCTACTTGGTAGTGAGTGTGCCAGCTATACTAGGAATTGTCTATTGCAGATTTTGCTGGGTTTTTACTTTTTGTCTGCCTCTTCCATATAGTTAGCAGAAGCTTTATTATGAGGAATGTGACTACCCAGGCAGGGGCTAGGCAACACAGTACTTTAAGATGTATAAGGCTTTTTCTCACGTTTTCTAGCAGTTACATTTAGTCTCCTGCAAAATTTCATTGAACAATCTCAAAGTAGTTAATCCCTGATGAATTTAGTTTCCCTCCAGTCATACATTTACATTATTGCCAAACATAAACGGATAGGGATAACCCATTTCATTGTTACAGAAAGTATAATGTCTTGTAGTAAGATGGTATCTTCAAATATGTATTGTCCCTGGAAACTATTATAAGTCTCCCCTTGGTCTTCATTGTTGAGAATCCAGGCCCACTTTGGTCTCTTAATCTGTGTGGCCATCAAGCAGGATGGGAATGTAAACTGGAATGGACTGGTTTGGTCATCTCTGATGTAGATTAGGTTGTGAACAGGTAGGAGTTGGATGAAGGAAGTATAGATGTGAGTGTTATAATCCTTCTAAATATACTGTGTATATAACTCTTCTGAATACACCTGCCTGCATCCTTTCTCTTCTCTACCCCCAAATATTTACTGAGCACTTACTGAGGAGTTGAAGGGAGATGGGCAATAAACAGGAAAATGTATGGTATGTCAGACTTTTAATCCTTTTGTGTTTTAAAATCATTTTATTGGCATGTGAGGAGATTTCAGAGCACTGGTATTCCAAATTTAGTTACCTTTTACTATAGTGACCCGTTATGAATAGGAATTCTGTAAATAATACTGATGAAATTATATTTCATCACAATTCTTAAGAAAACTATACTTTTTCGTTAAACGTTTTAGGACACCTTATCTAGATTAGGGGAGATTTTTATTAAAACAAAATCCATTTGCAAAGATACTATATACAGAAAATTTCTATTTTTTTCACAAGAAAAATAATGAAAACTTTAAAGGGTATGCAGATTATTTAAATTTTTAAACAAATTATCTTACATTTCAGACTTTATTTTGAAGATGGCAAACAAAAACAAAAACCCAGAAAAAAACCCAACAAAAAAACCCTTCACATCTACATTGTTAAAATCACTGTGAAGCCCACAAGCCCAAGAACAGCTCCAGGTTGCCCTCTCTTGGTACCTGCCCCACTACAGCTCTCTGCAGCTAAGACCAAACTCTGCAGAGGGCTTCTAGGCTGCCCTAGCTTAGCTTGATCCATTCCTGCTCTCTAGAATCCTGAATTAAAAATAGTCTGGCCATCTGCTGGCAGATGAGACAACAGCTGAGCTATTTTTAGTTTCAAAGAATTTAGGATTGTTAGAGGATCAGACTTGAAGGTAGCATTGTTTGTCTTTCCGGGAGGGGAGGTTGCGTTTGTGCCATATTCCAATTAGGCCTCTAAGTTTCAGGAGTTTCTCTGATGTTAAGTCTATGACTAATTCAACTTCTGCTTCTAATATCAGATATTTATGAAGATATGCTGCAAATGTTAGGATGAACTAGTTCAAGGTTGGAAGTTGGCACTGATACAGAATAGGAGTGAAAAGGGTGACCAGAAGAAGGTTTTAGAGGCAAGGGGAGACATTCAGGGACAGTCATAAGGGTGGGATCCCTTGAGATATGGGAGAATGATGGAGAAAAAAGAGGACTTGTTAGGGAAGTGATTTTTGCATCAGGGTGTGAATTTGTGTTGTTTAGCATATTCTAAAGTGATCCTACTGATTTAGTTTTTTTTATTTAAGGATCTGTTACCTACCATTATAGTTACCCCCAGAAATGTAAGTAAAATATTTAGGCAAAAAATTTTGCTTCTTTCTGTACCTCCAGTCCCAGCCTTATTTTGGTTAGTGGTGTTATTAAAAAGGGATATATGGGTGGAGGGGAGATTACTTGAGTGCCATCGACCCCAATTTTATGCTTTTGGTAATATCAATTTTTTCACCGTTTATGAAAAAAAATAGTGACTTACCCCAAATAACATCCTGCAGTGAACATTTTAATTATAATTTAAATCCATTAGCAAGTCTCCTTTTAAACCTTTCTTGTCATCTAGAGTAAAAAGTGTCTTTGGTAAGTCAGGCTACCAAGATTTTTGAGATAGCTGGGGAAAAAAGTAATGAATGAAATGATTGATGCAAGATTCTGTTAAGTTTGAGTTGAAAAAAGTAAGTTTGGGTTTCAGTGCATATAGTCTTTCCATTCTGGAGATTTACAATCTACATTAACATAGTTAAGATTCTGAAAAGTCCTCTAGGAACAATATCTGCTCTATTTTGCTTATTGAAGTTTTTCCTAAGTTTATTTGACCCTTTTCAGTGTCTGTTAACACCTCTGTGAAACATTGTTC